AAAGTGCTAGATCACGGTTCATATTTTGTCAAATTCATTTAATACTACCTAAGTAAACCCCTTGCACATGTCTTCACCTAATGATCAGACTCCACCACTGCGACAGGAAAGAGAACCCTGCTCTGAGCTGTCCCCCTCCTTTCACTGAAGGTGCATACAGATTAAATAACTAATACAACAAGAGCGAAGGAGGCAAGATTTGGCTCTGTGTAGCAAATCAGAAACAATCTTTTAGCAACTGGTTTTCATTTTCTGCACTTCGAATGTTTATTTCCAGCCTCTCCTTTCAAAATCTGCCTTTATCAAAGAGGGCAGGCATTTTCTTCATTTGCCTTTCAGGCTACAGCGTCTCTGAACACCATGACCATAACATCCATTTAGGAGACGTAACGGAGCACAATTTGACTCTGTAACTACATATACCAAAGCAAGAAGCAGTGGTTGTACAGTTCAACACTGAACACCACGGTTTACATTAACACAGGCTCACGCAAAGGGCCAAATTCTTAATTTTAGACTCTAAACTTTGGGCTGCAAAACATTTCCAGGTGCAAGCCTGTACTGACATGCATGATCAGATGCCTGGCTAGCTGGCTGACATGCATGTGTTGTCACGTAGTTGCACATGGAAATGCAAGGTCTAGGCTCACAAAACTTATAAATATATTTTAGCTAAAATTTGGCTCTAAGAAGTACTGTGACTTTATTTGCTCTTTAACTTTCTTGTTCTGCAGAGGATTCTACATCACCTAAATACATAGAATTTTAGTTCTGTGCACAGTCAGAACTTTACTTTTAACTTCATTTTATCTTCTGAGTTTAAACGCTCAAATTTTTGCTAACTTTCAGAATATGAGAGGATGTGCAATTGTTGCTTGTGTCTGCTGTGGGCAGACATGGAGGAGGGAGCATGGAACTGTGTTCACACGGGAACTGAGGTACCAGAAGCAGTTTAGCTGCAATGCCTCGGGGCAATACAGGGTTTTAGGAGCAGGGTCAGCTAAGAGGTAAGAATACACACTTCTAAGGGATTATGAAGTATACTTCAAAAGAGAAGAAAATGGGATTGCACATTTTCCTTTTTTTTATGAACTATATTAAAACATCTTATTAACATTATTTTAGGCCTTTTAATTTTAATGTAAGGAATATCTGAAGTGGTTAGCCCAGTTGTGCTGCTTGTCTGTCTTTTAGGATTCAGATATGTGACCTTGGAGCTTATGTGGCTCTTGTTTAAATGTGGCATCTATAGACGTTCAGCAAGAGAACTTTGCTTCTAAATACTTGCTTTGGCAATTTTGCTACACACATCTTAAGACAGAGCTTCAAAACACCTGAATGAAAATAGTTTTCCAGTGAAAGCTAAAGATATCTTGTTTTCTGCTACAGTACTCTGCTCTATTTTCCATGTTTGTCTGCCTTACTCCTACTAGGATCTAGAAAGTTGTAGCACTCCACAAAATCATGAATTTCCTCTGTAAAAATGGATGATATAAAAACAAACTCTGGGATTTTTTCTATCCTCTTTATAAAGTCAACAGTGGCAAAAATACACAAAATCAACATTATTTCCCCATGGCATGTCATCTGTGACTCTACACCTTCTGGTTACCGGGAGTTTATACGAACTTGTGGCGAATTTTCAGAAACCTGGACTTGTCCTCCCCCTCTGTGTGCACAGCTTGGCAGTGGTAACCTGCTACTGTACAAACATAATGTCTTGACTCTGAGCCACACCTGGGCTCAGCTCAGCATAACTCGGAAACAGAGGGACAGAGGTGACACTGAAGCAGCCACACCAATGTATTGACAGCACTGCTGTCAAAAAAGATGCTGTTGCCTTCCTCTGTCCCCAGCCACTCGTTCTGACGCACAAACATTTGCTTTGACCCATGGTGACCTGGATAAGGGAGGTGTGAAGGACATATAAGCACCTGAGGTCAAAAGAACGTGACTGCCTGCCTCTTTTAGCATCAGCACTTGGATATGCTGGTGTAAGCTCTGCAGCCTGGCGACAAAAGAAACCATTGCGGTACTCATGGTTTAGGGGATAATCCAAGCCCTGGCATAATTCATATCATAGTCACACAGTAATTGCCATACTTGACCAAAGTTCAGGTGTATTTGGATGTACCAGAGCTGGGCAGCAGCTGTTAGGAGAGCACTGCACTAGACACGCAAAACCAGCCTGTCCCTTAAAGATCTGCATACTGATTGCTAATAGAGTCTGATCTACCCTGTAAGACAACAGATTTATCATCCCTTTCAAACTCAGTCCAAAACCTATTCAACCAGAAGTTTGGCTGAAGAGTTCCAATACACACAATCTGTACTTTGTAAGAGTGTGACATGCAACATCATTTCATGATGTCACATCACACAAGACATGCTTCTCCCAGCTCTCTGTACCTGGGTTATCTGCAGTACTGAGGGCTGTCCCAGGCAGCTGCTGAAGATGTTTTCTGGAGAAGCGAAAAAGAATCTATTGTCAGATGAACTCTTTTTTTCCAGACGTAGAGACAGATTACAAAGTGTCTGTAAGAGTCAGCTGTGGTTTGCTGAAAAAGTCAGGCTTTATAGATGTTATCTGCTGTTAAAACTTGCTTAGAAAAAAATTAAACAGATTTTAAACAAGGAAAAATTCATGGGGAACTGGGGGCAGGGGTCAGCTCTCCTTCTGAGCAGCATCTCCCACACCATTGCCATACACACAAGCTGTGGTGCTGTATAAGAACTGGGGTAACTCTTCCCACGATCTTCTTATTCAGTGCCACTTGGCTTCAAAAGTCCTGGAGCTGCAGAGGTGGTGTCCAGCTCTGTGAAGTATGGGGAGATGCTTCCTCCCTGCTGTACAGACTCCCCTCTATTGAGCTGAATGCCAGCTTTTGAAGTGGCTCTCCAGAGAGCTGAGTATGTCTGTGACAGATACAGTTTAGTATGCCTTGGACAGTCATTGCTTTGCACACCTTGATGGCTCAGAAATGTAACTATACTATTTGTAATGGCCTAAGGCACTAGATCACTTTGTGGACTAATAACCTTCAAGATGGTATGATCTAATTCAAAGTGATTTTTAGGCTTTCAGGAGTTAAACAACATTTAGTAAAAGTCCCTTAAGATGGAAGAGAGAGGGAGAGTGAGAGGCTAAGCCTTTTTCAATTAAGTTTTCTCATAGAAAGAATAAATGCTTATTGCTGAGCTATACTGTAGCAAGGAGTCTGGAAAGAAGATACTGGTATAAAAGCAGCTGTAGCAGTAATTAGGCCATGGCCATGCATCTTTGCTTGGATCCAGCTGGGCCAGGGGAAGTGCCGGGTGCTATCAGTCTGAAATAATGAGTGCCAATGGCATATCTCTCCCCCTCTAACAGGAGTGACCACCTGTACTGAGGGATGCTCTTGCATTTCAGTCCAAGTGAGCTGAATCAGCAAGACAGTGGAAATGGTTTAACTGGGTTCATCTTGACTGAAAGAGGTCAGAAAACCCTCAGAAGAGCACCTTCCATAGCAAGCCTGGGGAAGGGGTGCTGATCTGCCTTGGGGGTGCGCAGGCATGCACAGCTGGGACAGAGGGGAGGCTGGACAGGACAGCTTCTACCATGGGTGGGAACAGCCACCTGTACACACCCAGAGTAACCACTACCATTTCCAATGACAGATTTTCAAGAACATTGCAGACAAAACTCTTTGGAGTATCACCTTAAGCACTGACTACAATTCTATCCTCATTTGGACAGGATGAGACAGAACTTTTTTTGTGTATGTATTCACATACACGCACACGTGTGCATATGTCTGGATGCACTGGCAATAAAATCTTAATAAGCAAACTCCATTATATGTAATTATAGGCTTATGAAGTAATCAATGAGCATCAACATATGATACATGTTGATGTCTCTATGTGGTCTAAACCTTGTATGGTAAATAGAGTGATAGCTGGTGGGTTAGATAGAGCTAAATCAGGAAGAGAGTCAAACCATCCAACGTTGGAAAGAGGAACATCCTGTGAGCTTGGCCTACAATAATATTCAGATGAAAAAAACGCTCAAAGAATTAAGACTCAGTATATCAAGAGGGATTTAGACTGGTTCCATGGCTGTGAAAAGAAAGCAGACTGAAGCAATGAAAGATGACCAGGAAATCTCAGGGGGAGACAAAAACTGTACATAATATTTACAACACTCTTCCTGCCCATATACAATACAATTACACTGACCATTAAAAATATATTGTGTTGAAACAGCACAAATCATCTGGGACCCCAGAAAATCCAGCTCTCCTTCCAGGTTGCCGTTAATATCCTTGAGCTCACCTTGCCTTCTTCTAGGATAGAAGTCACTTCCAGGGAAACAAGGCCGGGCCAGAGCATTTCTGCATCAGCCAGGATATCCCCTGTCTGTGGACTTGCCTCACAGTGTGTTGCTAACAGAAATAAATAAGAGAACTTCTAACAAGAAGAAAAGTGTAAAGGCAGCCAGAAGCCGATACTGAGCACAGCCTGGCCAGAGGAGAGAATGAGGGCTGCTGTGTATATAACCACAGACACATACCTGTGCATGTTTGCACACATCAGTCCAAGCCAATTCAGCCACTGTGTGAAGTTTCACAGCATTGTTTATTCTGGAAAGAGAAGGGCTTCAAGGAGAGCTGCTTTGCAGCAGTCCTCTGTGCACAGCACATAAATCTGAACATTAAATATTGGTTTAAATTATTAAGAATAAATTTAAATTGAAAAATAGACTAATGCAAAGAAACAAATTTCAGTCAACATTGGAACAGAGCTAGTTTTAGGAAGCATATTGCTATAGCAAATGCAACTCCTTGTTCCCTCGGACAGTCTGAGGCAATGATCTGGTAACTCCGGTCCAGCACTGAGATGCACACACTACTCAGCAAGGAAACATTACCATCTCTAGCATGAAGCTCCATGTTCACATTTTTCTCTTTTTCCCATCACCAAAAAAAAAAAAAAAAAAAAAAAAAAAAAAAAAAAAAAAAAAAAAAAAAGCCAACATAGCATATTAGCTTTTCCCACAAAGCATCTGAAGTGACAAAATTTACTTGAAAAATAAAAATTAACAAAAGCAGTACAAAGAAGAATCCTGATCAGCTTGTGACCACCATAAACCAAGACAGGTAAGAAAAAGAATTAAAAAATAGTTCACATCTGGCACCACAAACCTTGCTCACTTTCTACGAAATCAGGGAATGAGAAAAAAGGTCAATTTTGCTGAGACCATTTCAACAAAGTTTTCTTTCCCTGAACCTGGAAAATCCAGGTATTAGGGTACAGAACTTTTGTTTTATATGTATATAAATACACATGTACATATTTATATAAATATAAAAGCAGAGCATCCTCCCATTTTTCCTCATAATTTATTATTATTAAAGCTAGTAACAGAGTTAGCTGGACTCTTCAGAAGTGGGTGCTCTCTGCACACACACAGCACAGGGAGTTTAGCTCTGCTAGTGCAGAATAGCCAGGAAGGGACATAAAATGTTGGGTGATGGAGGCAGATGTGGGTGAGCAGCCAGGAAAGGGCAGGGAGCAATGACTAGTAATGGCCTTGCTTGCTCCAGGGTGGCACTCTGGCCTGCCAGAGCCAGTCTCAGAGCAGACTCGGTGGCGGTGTAGAACGATGGCTGCACCAACCCACCCAGCCCCTCGGCAGCCCAGCTGCTCACCCAGCCGCTTCTGTACCAGCCACTGAAGAAGGACTGTCCCTCAATTTTAAAGGGAGTCCCAGTTTGTCCCCCAAGCACATGTGGTTAGTTCCCTTTGCAGTACTCCCCACCATGCTGCCATGGGTCTTTTTGCTTACTGTGCTCAAAGTTGCCTGAGCCTTTCCCTCCCTCTGCTGGGTTCCCCAGCGCCCTCACCTAGTCCTCCCAGACCTCCTGCTTGCTGGTCAAGACCGGACACCTTTTTCTCCCCTGATCCACAGGGTCCTACTCACACTGGTTTACGTTAATGCTTTCCCATAGTCTCATAAGACCAAGTAATTTCCTCAGAGGACTGAGTTTCTCAGAAGTTTTCTGCTCTCAGAGACCTCTGAGTAAGTCAGGGCTGGTGGCAGGTGTTCCTCAAGCAGTGCTGTCTTCATTCCAGAGAGGGCAGGGGCAAAGTGCAAAAGATTTCTTGAAATCAGAAGGTATTTCCACCATCAACAGCTTGCTCTCCTTCATGTTGTATAGCACTTGTTTCAAGTAAGGTGTTATTCATGTGTGACTGCAGCCTTCACTCTTCCTGGGGTGAGTGGAGATCAGTAGGTGACTACTGGTGAATAGCCAAGTCACTTCATCATGACACATGCTGGAACAGCTGAAAACATTCAAACCCAACTACGTTCTTCATAGCAAAAAGTGCTTTTCTTGAGAAACAAAGTGAAAACAGTGTTCCCATGGAACATCTTAAGGACTCAAAACCAGTATTTCCTAGGGTGGGAAAGATGGAGCACACCTACTTTATTTAGCTTTATCTCAGTAAGGAAACATTGCTACTGGCAAAATTGGCACATCTTTGTGAAGTTGTTAAACTTGGGACCCTGGCTGGAATGTAAAAGAAATGACAGAGCAAAGGAGAACTTTGCCTTATGCTGGGCTTCTGCTAGTTCTGGCAATTTCATGTGCAGGTTGTCCAAAAAAGTTCTGCTAGCCAAGTAAAGATGAATTTCTCAAATAATAAACAGTGGGTTTTCAAAGAGGCCTTTTGGGGGTACTGCTACAACCTGGTAGAGGTAAGTCTTTTCATGCCCCGCCGCTGAGCCAGACTGGAGGACAATACAGGCTCCAGCTTTGGTGCCTGAGGTGCTCGGTTTAAAGCAAAGTATGTGGCTGCCATTGCACCCTGTAAAACAGAGAAAGAGAAAATGATGAAATTCTGTCCTTTGATGCTTTTCCCCTCCCTTCCCCTATTCAGTCCCCTGAAAAAATGGAAATGCATGGATGATTTCCATGAAATGATAACATTTAGGCTGGCAGACATCTGGGGTGTCTGATTCAAAGCGGTGGGTAGCAGGATGTGCACACAATGCCACCAGGCCATTACAAGGCAGCTTGAAGTTAAAAATATCGAGCAGGTGACAGGACAATCTTTACTGTTACTGTAGTATATTAAATTTGGCCTGTGGGAAATAATCTTCCCAATTCCTCTATCGCTTTCCAGAATATTTGTACAAATGACAGCTCATTCTGCAAGGAAAAAAGAGGCAGCGGTGTGGAATGTACCTTCACCAGGTGAACATCCTGTCTGCTGAGTTGGTTTTGAGATAGATACTCCCTGTTCACTATCCATGGATGTCTTAGGACTTGGACTGCTGTAAGGCGCTGATGAGGGTCTACATGAAGCATCTTAGATACAATGTCCTGGGTTTAAAAGGAAGAAAATAGTAGAAGGGAGAAAAAGTAATTAATAGCAGTGCAGCTTTTACTAAGATCTTCCCGGTGGCAGTGTCATCACCAGCATGTCCAGTGGAGAGAAGGGTGCACTTTAGATATGCTTTATATTTGTTAAGTGTAAAGTCTGATCTTCAAAATTTTCAAGTGTAATATTCAACTCTCCGTTGATAATCCAGTCAAAAGATAATGTGGAGGGTATTCAGTTTACTGTTAATTACAGGTGATCTGGTAGGAGTGATAAATTCCACCTACAGGGGACTCTATCTGGAGGCACCTCCTCACTGACTCCAAAGCATGCTTGCAAAAGAACCTTAGAATAGAAATTTAACATTCAAGAGGCTAAAATTCAATGAGATCAGTTCTACCACGTATGAATGTTTTCATTTCAAAACTGGACATCTGATAAAAAATACACTGTGAGGCTCACAGGTGTTGGTAGCAAGATTAATATGTTACTAGGATTGCTTGCAGTTTTGTGGTGGCATATGTCAATGTTCTTCCACTGGATACTGCCAGTTGCTAAAACTGAAATCTCTTGGAGGAATCTCTAAATCCTGTCAAAGTTTCTGATTAATGCCAGGCAACTGGAAGCTTGCCAGCTTTCCTGCCCATCTAACTGTCTCATAGCCTAGTGCACACATTCATGCTCAAAAGACTCAGCACCAGATGAATTTTATATCCTGGGATTTCCATGCTTTGTAATAGATGGGCAGCCTAAACTGTGAACTATACAGGAGTTTAAAATGCTGGTTTGTAAACTGCCTGCTCCCGGTTAACTCTGAGGAGCAAAAAAGGTGATTCACACATAGGCCATACATTTGTGGCACTGACCACCCCACACTTTTAAAAGTTCAGTTGCACCAAAGAAGAGTTCTGTGCTGTTTGAATCTCAAGAGCATTCACAACTGATGGTGCTATATTATGCTTTAGTTTAATGAAATAAACTAACAAAATTCCTGAAACACTGTTTCATACAGAGTGGTCGAAACATAAAGAAATTAACGTTTTTATTTCATGAGGCATGGAAAAATAACGCTTCTGACTGTCTTTCACTTTAATTTGTTACAACTGCAGACTGCAAGTTCATTTCAGAGAACAAGAAAAAAAATCTGAGAAAATGTTCACTGACCTTTGCAGTGTCAGATACTGAATCCCAGTTTCCTCCTGTAAGTGCATATTTGCCACTGCCAATCCTGGCCAGAATCTCCTCTGGGGTGTCATCTGGTCCATTTGCAAAAGGAGTGAACCTATGTAAAAAAGGAAAAAATACAGTGTAATTTGCAAGTACAGGATTTCTAGGATCTAATGCTCACTGCTCCTAATTATGACAGGAATTTGGTTTCAGAATGGACCATAGACATTGCTGCTTCATTTTCACTCAAACTATACAGTCCAGTGATTCCTCATATTAAGTTGTTCTGCAGAGGAAAAGACTGATTCCTTAATTGTTTTTTAAAATTTTTGTTCTGTTCTAATTTTTTAGGAATGAAATATTCTTTTAAAAATATAGACAGGTTTTTACCTCTTTAATTGGTTTAACTCTGCTTTAGGGCCAATAACAATAATTGATAATGCCAAGAAATGATAAAAATAAGGAGAAAAATTAGGATCTGAAACAGAAAAAAGGGAAAGAAAAAAAGAATCCTTTATAATCTATTTTGCAATGCTTTATTAATTATGATATACAAGTCTGTTGGGCAAAACAAATGATCTGCATCCAGCTTTACAAAATTAGTGTCACGTGGAGGGACACTTTTTGTCTTCATAAAGTGACAAACAATAAAATTTTTCCAGCTGACTAAAATCTACCAGGCCAAATTTTACTTTTCAATCTTGAACAGCTGTGTAGGTTTAGAAGAAGAGGGCATTTGGGATTTGTATACTTTCCTTCCACCTCTCCCTTTTCTTCTGAAAACTCACCAGAGTGATTTTTAGATTGTTAAACAGTTGGTTTGGCCACAGTTTCCTCTCCCACATGGTTTCTAGTAGCAAATTCGATTCCTCATGCTGATTTTCTAATTTTGAAAACATTTCAGACTTCACAGGTGTTCAGCCCAAAGAGATACGTAATATTATTCCAATCTATAACCATCAGGAGTGATGCACTAAGAGTTAAGGACTGGCTAAAACTCCGAGGTCTGTCACTGCCTGCCTTAACAGGTTTACAGGCTTGTGCTCTCGTTCTGGGTGTCTGAGCCCTCTCTGCTCACAGTAATGATCAGAGGAGAATAAAATCCTAGATGCAAACAATAGTCAGTTCCTACTAACTCTCCTCTGATGAAGAAGAAGAAGACCATCCCTAAATGCAGTGGTGGCACCTAAAAAGTCAGCACTTCTCAACTGTTTGCATTACTGTTATTTTCTCTTGTAAGTGCAGAAAAAAGTGAGATACAAGTTAACAGCACTTGTCAAATTTCATATCTGCTAAGTGGATTTCAGATTCAAATATATTTGGATTTTTTGACATTTAAGAAAGAAGCATTTCAAATATAATCAGCTAGACAAACATGACTGTGGGTAATGTGTTGGTTTTGTTTTACCGATTCTGGTTTTGTATCACTTAAAATCTATGGCATTAGAGAAACAGAAATAGGTTTTTGGAGATCCCATCAGACTGGGAGACTGCTCCAAAAAGTCACAATATATTTCAGCTAATGGTGAACACATTTGTACTCAGGAACAAAACAGATGGGATAGAAACTCCTTTTCTATAATCTGTGAGGCAAGACACACAAATAACAGAAAGGTAGGGTCAAACGCTTTGTTTTTTGTATAAATCTAGGAATGAATCCAAGCTTCTCGCCACAGCTGAACGATCATGAAGCAGATTAAAGAGCTGTGAGAGGTTATGGAAGACTTTCAAGCTGCACAAATGTGCACATACCATACTCTGAGAAATTAAATTCAAGGGCCTGGTAATTCCAGATTAGGTTTGTACACTGCGTTTCCCATTCATCCCATCATATCTTATTCCTGTCCTTCACTGCTTGTTTCAATCTGTCTCTTTCTCTGAGTCTTCTTGTGTCAATACTTAACTTTAGCCAACACATTAGTAGGGGTATTTTTGCCAAATACCCCCCAAAAGTTCCTGCTTCCTGTTGCTGTTCTTGATGGTCTGTTAATTTACTTTCTGTCCTTTCTGCAGCATAATTTTCTAATAGCACCTGAAAACTATGTTTGGTGGGTTTTTTTAGCCTTTAAAGGTCCTCAGGAACCTCGATAAGAACAGTAGATGAAGAATGAAGCTGAAGAGAATACATGTATTAATGGAAATGAATGAACACCCTGTTATGGATAAGGTGAACATGATATGGCTGTTCGTACTCCTCTGCTCCTCTCCTCGTGTAAAACTTTCGCACTGCTTACGCGGTGAGTAAGCCTTTTAGGAGTCTAGGTCTCAGAGCAGTTTACAGACACAGGCTGATAAACACCTAAACAACTTGTGAAGTATCGAAGATATTTATGTGTTCTGGAAAAACTAATTTTAATTCTAGGTCTTGGCCATCTATTTTCTTGCCTCGTACAACTGAGCACATTTCTCAAAGGAGGTCAGGCAATTTGCTGTCTCTATCTGTGACTCCTTTTTGGCTTAATCAGTGCTGAAATGCTGAGCCCACTGGAGACTGTGGCTCCAGAAAAACCTCTTCACTCACCCTGCCAACATGGTATACAGTAGGATCCCCAGGCTCCAGATGTCACAGGCTGCATCGTAACCTTGGCGTTTAAGGACCTATGTGAAGGAAAGAGAAAGATGAAAATAGGTTAAAAAGCATCGGTTAGTGGTCGTATCTGTTGACATTTCCAGGGCTTAACTGTATATCTGGCTTGAACAGGTGGCTGCCTCAGGATCAAAATGTTCAGTAGTGGTGTGGAGCAAGGTGAAGCCCAGGCTGGAATGAGCTGGTTGATGTTCAAGTCCAGCACATCTGTCACCTCCACAGTGACAGAGATGAGTGCAGTTTGTTGGAGGCTCTGGGAGCCTCTCTGACCATCTAACACAGCAAACCAGACAACATTTCAGTGTTTTAAAATGTTTCTTAAAAAAAGCTTGTTAATACTTTGAAACATATCCTCCTAACATAAAGGTTACCAAGGACACTGAATGGAACCAGCATAGGGCTGAGCATGATAGACATGTCTGAGCTCACTTTGGATTTGATACAACAAATGGATGCACACTAACACATATCTAATGTCAGACTAGTAAAGATGGATGACAACTGCAGAGAAAACTAAAAAGCTTACTTACTTACTTCTGTATTAAGAGAAGTGACCACATTTAGACTGGACTTAACAGATAGCAGGCTAAAACTTGATCCCTTTTTCCTATGGGGAAAACAAGACCCATGGTACTCAGCAGAGATCTGACCAGTAGGTTCAATATTGGTACAGAATAGCAAGTTATAGAAGTAAGGGTAAAATCTAGATTTCATTTATTCTAGTGCATACTAGAAGAAATGTCTATTTGAGTCAGTGCAGGTCCCAGTGAAAGTGAAGTCACTAACTGAGGCAGCACTGCTGAGATTAGGGGAAGAACTTAATTTCTGTTTGGCTCAGAAAAGCTCAGGGACCACCTCCAGATCTTCCACTCACTTGTAAAAGCAAGCTACCCTTCTGTTTATTCAGTTCTGACATATAAGGAGAGTTTTTTCCCCTGCTGATGGATCAGTAGATACATTACTTTTTTGCAAAGCACATGAAAAAGGAATGTACAAATTCAGCAAGTCTTTCTCTGGCATGCAGCCTTAATACTAAGGAGTGATTTCAGCTATCTGAAGTCTATCACAGAAAGGACTGCTAGGAAAAAAAAGTTTCAGAAAATCTTGCCTCAACAGATTTTACAAACGATGAGTGTTAAAGCAACCATCTGTCAGGTATGCTGCTGAGCGAACATTTGCTACCTGGAAAAAAAAGCTACATTTACTCCTGTTGACAAAGCTGGTAAAATCCTACTTCTGCCTCTCTCTCCTGCACATCATATATACACTCTGTGACTGTATTGTTTGTTTTCATTTCTTCAGTTTCTGCATTCATTTCCCCTCTATAAATGATAATTTTTATGGGAAAAACCTTTTTGCTATTTGACAAACTCAGTTGCTTCTTGCTTCACCTGAGAGACTGAATACCCAAAATTTATCTTTAGCTGTGGCCATCATCCTTGCTTCTTTCAATGCCATCACTGTCTTCCTCCAATAACCAAGGACAGTCAAGTCCAAGGCAAATGTCAGAAAAATGGGGGAGTGATGGTATTTAGTGGAGCAGAGTATCAAGCAAGTGGTTACACAACCACTGTGATGGGCAGGTGTCGCTGTGTTCTATCATTTAGTTTGCAAGAACACTGCTAGAAAACAGGGACATTCACTCTGTGCCAGTGTCTAGGGAAAGCTTTGCTGGAAATTACTTTTTATTGACAGCAACTTCACCCCATGGATAACAACAGGATCTAGCAAGAGTTACCAGTTAGTGTCACTGCTATTTGAAAATGTATCCAGCAGGTCTGTGCAACTGTGGTTAAAGTAAGAACACCGAGCTGGCAGGAGTGTGGGAAACCTTGGCCAAAAAGATTAATGTTTGATCTAGGGGGCAGATATTATCAAAGAGTAACAGGCACGTGTGTTAGAAATAAGTCAGTCAGGGAAAGAGCTTTGCAAAAGATGCAGTGGTCTCCTGCTCCAAAGGATGCTGACGAATTTACTACCCATGAAGGGGTTTAGGTCACCTCAAGAATTTTCTGGGATCTGAAAAACAGGCAGGAACTGGCTCTTAGTGCCACAGATGGCAGGGTGTTGTGGTGGCAAGGAACAAACTTCCTCTGGGTCCATCCAATTCTGATAATGGCTCAGATATTTATCCAAACCCCTTCTGTTTCTATAGGCTTTGATTTATTGGATTAACAATGTTACAAATACAGGCTTTTCTCAGTTGTGACACAAGAAGGGATGTGTATGGGTATGAAAACGAATAAACAGGCTCATAATTCCAAATGCCAAAACAGTAGTTCTTCATGGATTTTGGAAGAAAACTGTAGAATAAAATATTTTTACTTTCTCCAGAAGTGCCCTGCAGCATCAGCAGGGAACTGGTGGGCTGCATTCTCCCTCTGGACCTGGCCTCGTTCTTCGCTCCCCGCTCGCAGCACGACTCACAGCAGGCGGCAGCGTGTCCCCCGCCTGGAGAGCCTTCACCCCACTCCTGTGCTCAGCTGGACCCCGCGCAAAGGGCTTCCAAAATCAAGGGGGATCCAAGCGGGCAAACATATCCTCCTTCCTCTGCCACAGTCCTCTTGTGCCATCAGCTCAGCTGACTTTCTGCCTTCTTGTTTACTTTCAAGGGTGCACGGCAGACGTCGCAGCGGGGCTCAGGCAGGGAACATGAAAGTCAAGTCCAGGCTGGAGGGCAGTATTACATCACAGGTAAAATGTAAAAGCGCTCAAGGCTTTATGTAAGCTCTCTGCCAGTTCTGGTAATGTTTCAATGATCTCCAGCGTTTCCTGCATTAGCAGGATCTGTCTTACTCATCACAAACGTCTGGGAGCGTGACTTCTGCAGTCTGATCTGAATCTGCACTGGGCTGCCAATGTTTGTGATTACAAACACTATACAAAATAGCTCATCATGAAAAATAGCTACACCTATTTTAAGCACATTGTATCTTGGAGAAAATCTGAGTGCTTTAAATATTAAAAACATGATTATTTTTCAGTTTAGCTATGCAACTGCTGTGGTGCCACAGAACTTTTTTTACATATTTGGATAAATTTTAAACAGCTCATTCTAGTTTCTAAAATGAAAACCTAACCAACCAGCAATAAAATAAAAAATCAATCTGTCTTGGCAATGGAAGATTTTTTTCTGAAGAAAATCTGCTCTGAATTTATACTGCCCCAGCAATGGTCTCAATTTAACAAATTCTCCTTCCCATGCTAGAAGTCTGTGATTCCTGTAACTTTTAGTATCATGAAAGGACCTTGTACAGAAAGATCACACCATTTTTCTCTTATCCAGTTACATACCACCCAGATGAACACTGGATGGAGGACAGTTATGGGGAAGAAAAGACTGCTGAATGATACCAAGTGGTATTTGACAGTAGAGAACAGATGAAGTACTGAAAGGCAATAGTTTTTTCTTATGTATTTTTCTTATAAGGATCATAACAAGCAGAGGAAGACACACATTTGAAGTTGTGTATTGCAAATACTAAAATTTCTGATAAGCATCACTCCGAGAAATGGATGATTACCCAGAAAATTAACTTCCTGCTACTTCATTGGAAGGAAGCAGCTATGAACGTCTCAGGGGTCAAATACAGCAAATAGCCCAAACCATTCAAACAGCTGTGGGACTCAAACCCACTCCCATGGGACTGAATGGAAGGAACAGCACTCACCAGCAATGCAGAGCCACCTCTCTCTGTGCCTGAGGCAGGCTATTTGGTCTGCCTCCATTTACCTGTTTGTAAAAATGGGAAAGCAGCCCTTTCCTACATGCCCCATAACAGGGGGGATTGGTACTAGGAAAGCCCAAGTGGAGAGATGTTACTCTAGCTCAATGAAGTCAACAATAAAGCTCCCACTGACTTCAGCATGGTAAGGAATTCATGCATGGATTTTTCTTTTGAGTCTTACTCCTGACATCAAGACTTTCCTCTTAAGTCTTATTCCGTTCTGATGCAGTGCACTCGAGGAGAAGCTGAGTAGAAGCAGCTACTGAAAAAAGGGTATTTATCCTAGTAATGAGCCAAGTCATTGTGTATGTCAGTCTGAGACAGATACTGACTTCCATCTGGAGACAAACAACTGGCCTGACAAGGCCAGGAATAGGAAATTTACGGTAACAGAGGCTGTGCAAGTGCCAGTAGCCTGGTTTCTGCCTTGGTCCTCTTGTAAAGACATCGAGAAAAAGGGAAAGGGAGGAAGGACTGCTTCTTAAAACATGTTCATTACTCACGGCTTTGAAATGTGATCCTACCTCAGGGGCAACAAAGTTGGCTGTGTAGCAGGGAGTCATGAGCAGCCCGTTCTCCGCTCTCAGTTGCTTGGCAAACCCAAAGTCACAGATCCTGATGGAATCTGGGTTTCCTGACTCATCCATGTAGAGGATATTACTTGGCTTCAGATCTCGGTGCACCACCTTAACAAGAAAACAATGAGTAACAAGTGAGCAGAGGTCAGGGAGCATCCAGGCTTGGCTGCCATTTCTGGTCTGCTGTTTGAGGTCGGTCAAGAGCTCATGCCTAAAATATTTAAGTTTTGGAGAAAAACTGCTTAAAATCCTTGGGCAAATGAAGGGAAAAGAAATGTTAATGTCTGTTAAAATCAGAAAGAACTTGTTTGACAGCCTGTGCTGTGTTAATAAGATGGAGGCTGCTGCTCTGTGGGAGGATACTTTTCCTAGGGTGGTCAGAGGGGGTTGCTGTACAAACACCTTGGCGTCAGAGTCTCCTGGAACCTGACGGCCAGCTGAAAGGCAAAGGAGAAATCCTGTCTGTGGTGGGTTGACCCTGGCTGGATGTTAGGTGCCCACCAAAGCCGCTCTATCACTCCCCCTCCTCAACTGGACAGGGGAGAGAAAATATAACAAAAACCTTGTGGATTGAAATAAGGACAGGGAGGGATCACAAACAAATTATTGTCATGGTCAAAACAGAATTGACTTGAGGAAAAATTAATTACATTTATTACCAATCAAATCAGAGCAGGATAATGAGAAATAAAATCAAATCTTTAAAACACCTTCCTCACCCACCCCTTCTTCCTGGGCTCAACTTCACTCCTGATTTTCTCTACCTCCTAACCCTCAGCCGCTCAGGGGAGCAGGGGATGGAAGTTGTGGCCAGTTCATCACACTGTCTCTGCAGCTCCTTCCTCCTCCGGGGGAGAACTCCTCACACTCTTCCTCTGCTCCAGCATGGGTCCCTCCTGTGGGGCAGTCCTTCAGGAACAGACTGTTCCAGCATGGGTCCCTCACGGGGTCACAAGTCCTGACAGCAAACCTGCTCCAGTATGGGACCTCTCTCCATGAGGCCACAGGTCCTGCCAGGGGCCTGCTCCAGCGTGGGCTTCCCATGGGGTCACAGCCTCCTTCAGGGGCATCCACCTGCTCTGGCGTGGGGTCCTCCCTGGGCTGCAGGTGGATCTCCGCTCCACCATGGACCTCCATGGGTGCAGGGGCACAGCCTGCCCCACCATGGGCTGCACCACGGGCTGCAGGGGAGTCTCTGCTCTGGCACCTGGAGCATCTCCTCCCCCTCCTTTACTGACCTTGGTGCCTGCAGAATTGTTTCTCTCACATATTCTCACTCCTCTCTCTGCTGCAGATTACCTCAGCAGTTTTTTTTCCTGCTTAAATATGTTCTCACAGAGGTGCTACCACTATTGGTAATGGACTAAGCCTTGGCCAGTGGCAGGTCTGTCTTGGAGCCGGCTGTCATTGGCTCTATCAGACACAGGGGAAGCTTCTAGCAGGCTCTTGCAGGTTCTCCCTGTGGCCTCACGCTACCAAAAAACCTTGCCTTGCAAGCCCAACACAACCATCAGAGAAGGAAAGTGTGTAAGGGTCTTCTGGCAATTGCCCATGTGAGTGGGTCACACTTGAAGGGAGGGATCTTTTTTTCCTCATTTCAAAATGTATTCACAAAAATTCTTTCTGTAGATATGCAACTTTCAAGTGGCTGTGTGTTTTACCAGAGGTGCTGCATTTCAGTGGTGGGAAAACAACCTCCACTGGTTATAGCAGGACTGAAAACCTATCATGAAAACATATAAGCCCAAGCACAAAATGCACTCGTTTTAACCATGAAACAGAAAAAACAGCAAATATTTGACTAGTCATTCAAACTGCTTGTCCCTGAAAAGTGGTTTTCAAAGTGCTGTATATAGAAAGCTTAGATTTTAAAAGCCAGCTCTTTAATAGCATGTCAGAAACCTTTCTCATCAGCTGCTCAAACTGCCATTTTGTTTGGAAAGCTGAGCATTTGATTTTCTGCTTATCTGCTGATTCAGCTACCCTATTTGAAATTCGGTTAAAAAGATCAGGTACTGCAATAATGACTGTGATAAAAAGTAAACAGCTAATACCTCAACAAGGTACATGAACTTGAAAATCAGTGTAATTTGGGGATGAAAATACCACTTCAACATACTGCAGTTCAGTTGGCTAAAAAGTCCATGACCCTATTTCACAAACAAAATCTAAATATAAATATGGAGAAAGATTTTTTTTAAAATGTATTTACATTTCAGAGAAGCAAAATCACTGCTATTTGCTTTTTCTAAAAGTAATTTTTTAAGAAGGTTGATGCGGATAGCCCAAAAAGCAGTGCTTACGCCCTGAGAGTGCAGGTAGTCCACAGTCCTGGTGATGGTGCACAGCACAGCACTGGCCTCTCTCTCTGAGAAACACTTCTGCCGAAGAATGCGGTCCAGGAGTTCACCTCCCCTCATCAGCTCCATCACCAAGTACACATATTTCCCATCATCATAGACCTGGAAGAGTAGTAGAATAAATATATATTTTGGATCCATTAACTTGGTGATGGTTAGTCCTTTAATCACAGTGTTGGCTTGCTTGTGTGAGATGTTGCAAGAAGAAAATGTCAGCTAATGTGTGGGAAATGTGCTTATTATGCTTAACAACAGAAAAGGAAACCATATAAAATGACTTAATCATTACTTTTTTCTCATGCCTGTAGTAGCTCGATGATTTGTCCACACAGAAATGCAGCTTTCCTGGTCTGCTATGTAGCAGAGTAGACCAAGCTGCTAAAAGCAGCATCACTTCACACAGCCTGAAATGTCTACTGGCTGTCACCCAAGCCTCCTTCTCAGTAGTGTTCTCTCTGAAGGGTAACATTTGCCATTTCAAATATCAATATTTCCCTTTGAATCATGATCAGCTAAATGAACTGTATTATACTGTTGGCCAAGACCTGCTTCCAATTATATCATGTAGTTTATATTTGTAAATCTGGTGAATACATTGTTGACATCAGCTGCAAGGTGTTTTTACCTCCAGCATCAATTGCATAGGGTAAAAGACTTTTTTGTCAAAATTGGAAGATGAGTGGCTAGTTGAAGGCTCAGGAGCTCAGGTTGTGTTTTTATCAATCCCTCAAGTGGAAGGGAAAACCACTGAAAGAGGGTGGAAAACGCATCTGATTAACACACGGCTCAGAGACTGGTGCCACCACAGGAATCCTGGGTTCTTTGATCATGGCAAAGTCTATAAGGCACCTGGTCTGTTGGCAACAAATGAGACGGGTGGGATGCAGCTGTCCCAGAGAGGGAAAAGGATTCTGGGGCAGGAGTTAACAGGGCTTATTGACAGGGCTTTAAACTAGATATGAAGAGGGACGGGGAGATAACTGGGCCTGTTAGGAATAAGCTCAAGGGAAGCATGCCAAGGCCTTGAAGGATGGTGGACTGGTGAGGGCTCTCTTGCTACTTCATTTGAGAGAAGGGAAAGATGTTTAGAAACCGTGGAAGCACCTGAGAAGGGTCTGGTAGAGAATGGGGCTCACACTCACAAAAAGGTGTTGGATTCATTAGCTCATCTCAAGTGCATCTATACCAATGCACTCAGTATGAGCAACAAACAGGGGCAGCTTGAGGCCATGATGCAGCAGGAGAACTATGACACAGTAGTTATAACAGAAACGTGGTGGGATGCCTCACATGACTGGAGTGCTGCAGTCAATGGCTACAAGCTTTTCAGGAGGGATAGACAGGGAAGGAGAGGTGGGGGAGTGGCCCTGTATGTTAGAGAATGTTATGAGAGCTCAGAAATCAAGTACAGTGATGACGGGGTTGAGAGTGTTTGGTTTAGGTTAAGGGCCAATAAAGCAGATCTTGCTGTGGGAGTCTGCTATAGAACCCCAACCAAAGCAGTGAGGTGGATGAAGCTTTCTATAAACAGCTGGGAGAAATCTCATGGTCACTTGCCATTGTTCTTGTAGGGTATCTGCTGGGATCACAGCACAGCAGAGAGGGAACAATCCAGGGGGTTCCTGGAATGTGTGGAGGATAACTTCCTCACACAGCTGGTGAGGGAGCCGACCAGGGAAGGTGCCCTCCTGGACCTGCTGCTTGTGAACAGGGAAGAGCTTGTGGGGGAGGTAAAGGTTGGAGGCTGTCTAGGGTGCAGTGGTCATGAGATGACTGAGTTTTTGATCCTTCGAGAAACAAAGAGAGGGGTTAGTAAAACTGCCACCTTAGACTGCTGCAGGGCTGACTCTGACCTGTTCAAAAGACTGATTAACAAAATCCCTTGGGAGGCTGCCCTGAAGGATATGGGAGTCCAGGAAGGCTGGTCATGCTTCAAGAGAAGTCTTAAAGGCACAGGAGCGAGCTGTTCCCGTGTGACGAAAAACAAGCAGGAGGGGAAGGAGACCAGCTGGGCTAAACAGGGACCTTTGGCTGGATCTCAAGAACAAAAGGAGAATCTATTGCCTTTGGAAGAGGGGGCAGGTCTCTCATGAGGACTATAAAGATGTAGTGAAGTTATGCAGGGAGAACATTAGGAGAGCCAAGGCACAGCTAGAGCTCAACTTGGCTGCAGCTGTTAAGGATAACAAAAAATGTTTCTATAAATTCATTAACAGTAAAAGGAGGATTAGGGAAAATCTCCCTCCTTTACTGGATGCAGAGGGAAACATGGTAACTAAGGATGAGGAAAAGGCTGAGGTGCTCAATACCTACTTTGCCTCAGTGTTTAGCAGTGGAACTGGCTGTTCCCTGGACACCCAGCCTCATGAGCTGGGAGATGGGGAGGGGAAGCAGAATGAGGCCAGCACAATTAAAGAGGAGGTAGTCAGAGACCTGCTGCACCACTTGGATGCTCACAAGTCTGTGGGACCAGATGGGTTACACCCAAGGGTGCTGAGGGAGTTGGCAGATGTGCTTGCCAAACTGCTGTCCATGATTTACCTGACGTCATGGCTAACTGGGGAGGTCCCATTGGACTGGAGGGTGGCAAATGTGACACCCAGCTACAAAGGAGACAGAAAGGAGGATCCGGGAAACTATAGACCAGTCAGTCTGACCTTGGTGCCAGGGAAGGTCATAGAGCAGGTCATCTCGAGTGCCATTAAAAGTAATGGACAACCAGGGGATCAGGCCTAGTCAGCATGGGTTTATGAAAGGCAGGTCCTGCCTGACAAACCTGATCTCCTTCCATGACAAGATGACCCAACTATGGAATGAGGGAAAAGCTGTGGATATTGTCTACCTGGATTTTCGAAAAGCATTCAACACAGTTCCCCACAGAATTCTCATAGAAAAACTGGCTGCTCATGGCCAGGATGAGTGTACAGTCTGCTGGGTCAAGCACTGGATGGATGGACGGTCCCAGAGAGTGGTGGTCAGTGGAGCTCAATCCAGCTGGTGGCCGGTCACAAGTGGTGTTCCCCAGGGCTCGGTGTTGGGACCATTTCTGTTCAACATCTTTACTGATGATCTTGATAAGGACATAGAGTGTATTATCAGTAAGTTCGTAGATGACACCAAGTTAAGCAGGAATGTCAATCTGCATGAGGATAGAAAGGCTCTACAGAGAGACTTGGATAGATTGGATCAGTGGGCCAACCTTAACGGGATGAGTTTCAACAAGGCCAAGTGCCAGGTCCTGCACTTGGGCCACAACAACCCTCTGCATCGCTACAGGCTTGGGGAGGTGTGGCTGGAGAGCTCGCTGGAAGAGAAGGATTTGGGGGTTCTAATTGACAAGCAGCTGAACATGAGCCGGCAGTGTGCCCGGGTGGCAGAGAAAGGCAACGGCATCCTGGCTTGTATTAGGAATAGTGTGACCAGCAGAAGTAGGGAGGTGATAGTCCCCCCGTACTCTGCACTGGTGGGGCCACACCTGGAGTATTGTGTCCAGGTTTTGGGCACCTCAATGCGAGAGAGATATCGAGGTGCTGGAGCGAGTGCAGAGGAGGGCAACGAAGCTGGTGAAGGGCCTGGAGAACAGATCCTGTGAGGAGCGATTGAAGGAGCTGGGACTGTTCAGCTTGAGGAAGAGAAGGCTGAGGGGAGACCTCATCGCTCCCTACAGCTACATGAAAGGACACTGTAGAGAGGTTGGTGCTGGTCTCTTCTCACAGGTGATTAATGACAGAACAAGGGGGAACAGCTTTAAACTCCAACGGGGGAGGTTTACACTGGACATTAGGAAAAAAATTTTCACAGAGAGAGTGGTCAGACAGTGGAATAGGCTGCCCAGGGAGGTGGTGGAGTCACCTGGCATTAAAACACTACTAAGGGAAACCCTAGTGACTTTGTGAGCTCTCCTCTTCCCAACAAAGCAGATACCAGAGGCCATATGGGAATGGCTGCTGCTCATGAAAGAGGAGTCCCTGCCCAGCAGCACCACAGTGCATGCCCAGCAACTTGCTTGAAAACACCCAACTAGGTGTTTCTGAAACTTCTGAAAACTTCTAAAAAGTGCTGCAAAACCAAACACATTTTGTTGTTCGCTAGCACTGTGCCCCTTTGCTTTTATCTGCAGTTGGTTAGAAAATAATTGGAGAATGTATAACCTGACCAGTCTTCTCAACTGCTATCCAGGAATCTCTTAGGTCACATTTTTTTTCCTTGATTTCAATGGGTATGACTTTAGCTCTGACCATCAACTGAAGAATTTTACAGGCACAGAGTAGTAGGTGAGCCTGACCATAAGGTGAAAATCATTTAATGCTGAAGTGCTCAAAGACTACTCACATCTTTAAGAGTAATAATGTTTGGATGCTGTCCATACCGCAAAAGGATCTCAATTTCTTCTGAGGGGTCTCTCTTGCTCTTATCAATTATCTGGAATAAATGAAGCATAGTGTAGTAAGATACTGGCTAGCAGCACTAAGCACAAAGCAAGCAATTTCTACAGTTTAAAGAAATTAGTACTTAAAATTCTTCTATTCATTATTATTCTAGGAGAGGACAGTTCAAACTCTCTGCAAATGAGAGCCATGCTGACTATATGCCAAAGCAGATGGAGCAATAATTAGTTCAGATTCAGAAGGCGTAGGCCTATTTTTTTGATGCCTACAATTTTGTTTGCCCATAAATAATGGCAGTTATAAGAAGTGTCATTTAGAAATCAAACAACCTGGAGAGTTTTAGAATAATAATAGTTTTAAAATTACCTCTTTGACACAAAAACCGGATACATTCATAATATTGTCATATGCTTGTGTATCTGCTGATAAATTAATAGAAATTACTTATCAGGCGGGTCTGTCAGAAATGAAGAAGTATAGACATTTACCATCAGGGGATATCTGACTTGAAGCTATTGGTAATCACTTGGTTCTTTGGGCTGTGCTGTTGTAACGAACAAGAGAGTCGCCAGAGATGGCATTTATCCATGTAACCAAACTCTGCCCATTCCTAAGCTAGAAGGAAATCTGCTCTATATATCACTTTTTTGTATTCAGCATCTTTTGTCTTAACAGAGAGTATAATGAAACATTAAAACTTTTTAGTTTTATAGCAGCAGGGCTCAGAAAAACATGACACCTGCTGCTTAGAGAGCATCACTGCATGTAAAGCCTGCTGTTAGGATGTCACCAACTTCTCAACAGTGATTCTATTACATATATTTGTCATGTCAGTCAAAGAGCTTTGATCATTTGCCCAGCTGAGAGCACTAATTAATGCTTCTCACTTTGCAGACTTAAATGATAAATATGAAACAAGAAATAGCTATAAAAAAATCCAAGGGAGATCTCTTCATTTTGGAATCTCAAATGCAACTGCACAGGGAATAGCAGAAGACTTTCCACTAGAAACTCATTAGGAGTACAGTATTTTGGCACAATTTCTTATTGCTCAAAGCCAGCAGCAGTACTTTGGAATAACATGTTTACCGAAGAGGAATGGGTGCTTTTGCAGAAAATCGTAATTCCATTACTGGCTTGGATTTCAAGACTTTCAACTTTAAATGTGGTTAGCTCTCTCTAAGAACTAGACAGACTAAGAACAGACCACAGATTTAAAACAATGGTGTTTGCAGGGAAACAACTTTTTAAAAAATCTCATTTGTTAATGAGATGGCTGCTTTTGCATGCATTTTTTATGACTTAATTATGGTGAAAGACATTAAGTACATGTCTAGAATTTTATGCAACAGTTAGTGCCTACTTGAATGCATATCTGAGGTTTTGTAGTCATCATGACTGGCATTCATTGGCAATGATAATAATGGTCAGTAGTTGTCCAAGGCTGATGTATGCGTTTGAAGCCATATCAGTTATTTGATTCTGAATTAATACCAGTGTGACAAGTGAAGGTGCAACAGGGAGCTGATGTAGGTAGATGGCTGTTGTCCACATTTGAACAAATGAAGGAAAAAACTCAAAAAAGGTGAGTGAAAAAAAACATAATAGCAATTTCTCCTTAGATTATAATGTTGTTCTCCCAGTTTAGTTGAGACATTCTCAAAAAGCCAATGAAACCCTGATTGAATGACTCCTCATAAATACAACCAAGGCGACTGAATGTGTCCCACTCAACCAGTAACTCTAACATATAAAAAATTCCTCAGGGCCACTTCCTTGGCTAAATTAATACAGCTCTTGCCAAGTTAATGGAGTTACATACACGTGCTTCTGTTAGGATCTGCCTGCCTTTTACAAACCAGCAGAATTTACTGCAGCAAGTACTAGTATCACTGTGTGAAGTACTACTATCACTGTGGTACTGTAGTTAGCAATATATTCCAGATTCCTTTTCTGTTGTATTTTCCTGTGAAAGGAAATATCCAGAGCTATGGAAAATTTTGAGCAACTATTAATAATGCAGGACTATAAATGTATATATATGGCTTAAAAAAAATCCGAACTGAAAATAGTCTCAGCTATTGACACAAAGCTCAAAATAACATAACCTGAAGCTGTCTGCTACTGATTTAGTAGCAACAGCAGTAGATGATATGTAATGCTTCTAATTCTCAATATGCTATATAAGTACAAATCGCAAGACAGTGCCGCTAAATATGCATGCTTTTTGCTTTAATGTGTGCACAAGCTGTGATACAGTGATTAAATGGACAAGCTGCCCTTGGCCACACAACAGAACATTGACAGAGCTGTGAAGGGACCTGCCAAACTCCTCTCAGTCCCTGTGCAGTCTGGTTGGACAGACCAGAACCATTTTTTTCCTCCACAGTGTGAGACTGTCACCCTGACAGTGCCTCACTTCAGTGTGCCTGTGACTTCCACCTGGTCTGCAACTAATAAAGCAGCAAAGGAGGTGGCTGCTGCAACTTCCACAGAAATTTCTCCTCAGCTCAGACTGGCTGCAGTATGCACAGTTTCTTTATTCACACACTGCAATGGCCAAAGCAGCTCCTTAAATATGCCCCATAGCTCCACTGCGATACCTGATTCTCTTGGTCTTCCTCTTCAGAAATTGTTTCTATGTGTTGCTAAACCCACACCAGATTTTCCAAAGATGGAAGCTGATGTGTCAGGGTGGTTCAGCCAGTGGTTGCTGCCTCCCTTTGCACCCAGAGATGTCTGCAACACAACATGAGATGCTGCATCCCCAACACATGCAAATCTTGGCCCAGCTTAGTGCCAAAATGAGCTGTGGTAAAATGCAGGCCCAGTGCTCCTTATCGAACAGAGGGGCTAAGGAAGATGTGTTGTGGACTTCCAGAGATATTCACAAGTAGTTCTGAGATTCTCAAAATCAGAATAAATTAATTAAATTATGTAAGTAAAAGGCAGTGGTTTCACCAGACAGGTGTTAAATAAGAGCTTTGTGTGCAACTGTACTTTCTAACTTTCAGTGAGAGCGTTGCTGTACATAACATGGAGAAGAAGCATGCTCTGAGCACCTTGTGCAGATGTGGCAGGAGAGAGACAGAACAGAGGCAGCCCTGGCATGGCACTCTCTGCATACTGTCCTCCCGCTCACCATCCAGCCGCTGGGCTGTTTGGCCTCCTGGCAAAAGCACGTGTCTTCTGCTGTACTTGTGCAGTAACTCCTTCCTTCTCCAGACAGTAACACCCAGGCTGCTGGGCACAGAGTCCAAAATCACTGTGAACACTTCATCTACAATCCTACGTTATCTACACACACACCCCCATTCCTGCAGTGGATCAATGCCAAGATATATGAAGCAGTCTTGACTGTAATTTGAAAAGTGTTCACTGAGTGAGACCTAGTGATTGCCAGAGAAGGTGAGGGAGGCATTCCAAAATCTAAGCGTGGTTGTACTCTACCTCCTGGAAACAAACCAAGGCACTCTTCTTGCTGGTCCTTTCCAGAGGGGACCTGGCAAGCATCTGTTGGCTCCTTGGGGCTGTGTTCCCACTGCACTGAGCTCTGGTGCCCCTCTGGGCTCTCGCAGAGTGGGGACACAGATGTTCTTTCCAGTGGGCTTTGATCGGCAGTGAACCACTACAAGAGCAGACACCCATACCACGCACTTGGCTTTCCTTTCCTGTGTTACTGTTTCTTCCTCCTTCTCCTGCTTTAGAGTTTAATTATCTCTAATTTTGAACGATCAGCTTTATTGTCAGTCCACCTCTGCATATGGGGAGGTTTTAGCTTTGTCCACTGAATTCAACCAGTGCAGATTGTGAACACCAGACAACAGCATATGTGGCACTTCACACACAACCAATGTAGCAGTTAGGTATGGTCCTCAAATTAATTTTAATACAACATCTCTCAGAGCTATGCTTTCAGGCTGCCCAGAGAGACCCCACAAAGATAGCCTGTTGGCTACCCTGTTCCAATAACGACCAAAGGCTCTGGATTGTTTTCTACCTGTATACTGAAAGCTCCAATGCTAGAAAGAAAAAAAAACTTTTAATGTTACAGATTGGGATAGATGAACATGTGGGATACACACATGGCCACAGCACGTGACACAGTGTCTGCTCTTGTTCAGAATTAGTATTACTATTAATCAGTTAGTTGTTTTCCTATCTAGTAGCTTTCAAGCTCTACTGTTGGATGCTGGCAAGCTAAATATGTCCGTCTGAATTTTAGTTAGGCAATGACACTCTTAAACCCTGATTAAAAGCTGAGGAAAACTGTGTAATTTCTACATATCTTTTGTGGTAACAAAGAGCATTTGCTACCCTGGTCACTCTGTTTCCTCTGAGATGTTGTGTTTTGCATGAAGACAGACTCTTCTCTATTCCTCTCTGTGACAGCCCATGAACCTCCTGCAGCAGTTCCTGTGCAAGGAATGATGTCTTGTCTTTAGGAAATTCATTCTGATTTGAACTCAGCTAAAATGTCTACATAAACACCCTCTGTTACAAAATTAAGGCAAGATTTTTCTCTGCTACTAGTCCTGAGGTTTTGAGTAATATGTAATTATGCTACTTTTCTATTTCTCTCTGTAGATGTGTGGTGAAGAACACCAACTCAGAAAGTCATCACAAAGTATAAATAACTTAACTGAAAACGTAACAAGAGCTCTGTTGTATTTTGGCAGGGAAGAGCTATGAAGCACAGGGCTCTTCTATTGTCCTTTGGAAAAATAAGAAACTGAGCCATTCAACAAATAGACTTTTCTCTATGTATTGGACACCCAGGGATTGCTTAGAAACTCATCTGTATTAAGCAGTGGGTGAAACAATTTCAGAGTAAAATGAGCTCAGCACATGCAATAGCATCCTTTGTTCTAATAGGAGACTTGTTTGTTCTTTGACTATCACATCCTTTGTGTATTTTACTGACTAGCTGAAAGAAAAGATGCATTTTCTTCAGTGGAATTTAGGGCAAGAACCTCATGGTATTTTAAAATGAGTAAAACTCCATCAGAGGACAATGCTGAACTGTATCAAGGA